GAGCAACTTCATAAGGTTAAAATGTTTATATTACCAAACAGAAAGATGATACATATAATCTCCAAGAACTTTATCATTATTAGGGCAACTGGAACTAGGCATCTATTTCGAGGGCACAAGCGTGAATCTATTTTGTTTGGATGATCTCAAATTAAAATGGAAGGAAAAAAAAGGGATGTACTGGGAGAAGAGGGTAGGAGAGCAAGAAGGGGGAAAATTATCTCACATACCAGAGGCATGCAAGGAAGACTTTTACAATGCAGGGGAAAATAGGAAGGGGTGAATAATGCTTCAACCTCACTCTCATCTAAACTTAGGTTCAAAGAGGGGAGAATATGAATACACATTCAGACTTGGGTATAGAAATCCATCTTACCCAACAGGGAAGTATAAGGGAAATGGATTACGAGAAAGGCAAGTGGTATCTGATAAGAGGGAGGACAGATTAAGGTAGGCAGTGGTCAGAAGCAAAACATACTTTTGAGGAGGATAAACAGAAGAAAACAGGATGGAGGTAAATACACAGTCATGAATCACAACTGTGAATGTGAATGGGATGAACTCACACATAAAATGGAAGTGGATAGCAAGATGGTTTAGAAATCAGAATCCACCAATATGTTGTTTACAACAAACACATTTGAAACAGAAAGACACATAGAGTTAAAATAAAAGACTGGAACAGAATTTATTATGCTTGTGAGTTATGCTGATGAAAAATGATCTACCCACATTCAGAAAGAACTAATGAACTCTGAGTGCAATTTGAATCATACTTTTCCCCTATTTTCTTTATTTTCCTTGCCTTTTTTTTCAATATGCATAATATGGAAATGTTTTGCATGACTTCACATACATAATATGAATCATATTGCCTGCCTTTGCAATGGATGGGGAAGGACCTAGAGAAGAGAATCTGGAACTCAAATTTTTTTAAATGAATGCTTAAAAAAAAAGGTCCTAGATTGATCCCTAAAAAAACATTATAGGCAAAAGTACCAAATCCAAGAGAATGTTGTAGAATTTCAACATTGAATCACTCTGATATGGTCCCCTTAAAAAAAGATGCAATTTTAAAAGTCAAGTCATTACAATAAAAACCACTCACAAGAACTAGATGGCATAATATGACATAGACTTAATGGTACCCTGTAGAGTCTTACAACAGACCAACTTAATCAATATGGATATACAATAAAGCTGTCTCCAAATCTTCCACCTTTTAGCAGAGGTTGCTATGAGCAAAAAATACATCAGTTAGTAGAAAATCTCTGATGTTGAACCTCTCAACTGAGCCAGGCCTGTCCTTGGATGGTATAATCCAAGCCATGACAAAGTCCACAGTCTAAGTTTTGCCAACCCATACTCCACTATATATATACACAAACGAATCCACTCTCTCATGGATCCCGATATAATGCTGACCACAATCCATAAATGCCTACCCATCCTGGGCAACTCTTGTTCATGTCCTCCCACAAGTTTGCTATAAGCCACAGTTCACAGATTATACAACTACACAATTCTCAGCACTCTCACAGATCAATACAAAAAATTATTGCAAATCTAGAGATCCCTCCAAAAGACAGTAACTCCACAACAACTACAAGCAATGACTCAAAGGGAAAAATGGATTCTCCATAAGGACTACATGAATAATTAGAAGAAATTTTTAAAATGAAATAAAAGCTCTTAGGGCAAAGAATTAAAAGGAGAACAAATGGCTTAGAAGAGAAAAATGAAAACTTATCCAAGAAATGGATTCCTTGAAAACCAGAATAGAACAGAAATCAATGATTTCTTGATCAGTTAGAAATATTAGAACAAAATCAAAATATTTTTTAAAACAGAAAATACAAGAGACCTGATTATCAAGAACAAGTGACCTAGAAAGCAAATTAAGAAGAATGAATTTAAGAATCATTAGACTCCATGAAGACCATTATTGGAAAAAAAAAACTAGACACTATATTTTAAGAAATTATAAAGAAAAACTGCCCAAATCTATTAGAACCAGAGGGTAAGGTGAAGAAAGAATCTACCAATCACTTCCTAAAAGAAATCCTGAAAGGAAAAGTTATCAGAGATGTCAGAGCCAAAATCTAGAACTCCCATATTGAAGAAAAAATACCAAGCAAATTTCTTAAAAGGGTTTGTTTGTTTTCCAAGGTTAGATTGGAATGGGGAGGAAGAAGAAAGAACAAGCATCCAGAAAGAAGCAGTTCTAACACCAGGGGGCCAGAAAAGAATGACACAAGACCTGGTAACTACTACTAAAATTAAGAAGAGAGCTTGGTATACAATATTTCAAAAGGCAAAACAGACTTCCAGTCTAGAATAATTTGGCCTGCAAAGCTGACTGTAAGTCCATGGGGTAGGGGTAGGGATAGGGGAATGGACCTTTAAAGGAATACAGTTTCTAAGCTTTTCTGATGAAAAGATTAGAGCTGAGTGGGAACTCTGAAATGCAAATGTAATATGCTATCCTAAAGTAATTTTTATTTTTATTTATTTTTATTATTCTTTATTCTTTATTTATTCAGTGCCATAACAATCAAACTATCAAAGCATTACTTCCTAGAAGTAGGGAAAAAAAAATTCACCTGAAGAAAAAGATCAAGAATCTCAAAGAAAATAATGAAGAGTACGAAAGGAGGAGGTCTCATAATAAAGATTTCAAACTATATTACAAAGCATTAATCATCAAAACAGTTTGATACTGGATTGGTAAAAAATGCATGACTAAACAAGGACTACAGAGGATCGCAAAAGATAAAATGGACAATCTTGAATACATAAAATTTAAAAGGGTTTGCAAAAAAAACCCCATCCAATATAAGTATGATTATAAGGAAAAGAGTTAACTGTAGAAAAAAAAACCTTTGTAACAAGTTTAATAAAGGTCTCATCTCCAAGACATATGTAGAACCGATTCAAATTTATAAGAGTAAAAGCCATTCCCCAATTGATAGTTCTCAAAGAAATCCAACCTATATCTCTAGTCACACAAAAAAATGTTCCAAATCACTAATAATTAGAGAGATGTCAATTAAAACAACTGAGGTTCAACCCTCACATCCAATTTGGCAATATTGAGAAAAAAAAATGATAAATGGTGGAAGGGGCTTTGGGAAAACAAGCGAAGCTGTGAATTGGTTTAACAATTCTGGAAAGCAATTTGGAACTATGCCCAAAGGTCCGTAAACTGTGAAAACTCTTTAAATCCAGCAATATAACTATTAGGCCCGTACCCCTAAAGAGATCAAAGAGAAAAAGCTCCCCTATATACACAAATATTTATAGAGGCTCTTTCCACAGTGGCTAAGAACTAGAAACTAAAGGGATGTCCATCAACTGGGGAAAGGCTGAACATATTACTGTTTTGCTAAGAAACACTGAAGGGGATACTTTCAGAGAAACCTGGGAAGACGAATAAACTGATGTGGAGGGAACAGCCAGAAGAAGAACTGAATAACAACACTGTAGAAAGGAAAGAATTCTGAAAGACTTAAGAACTCTGATCAATGCAGTGACCAACCGTGATTCCAAAGGAATGATACCCACTTACTGTCAAAGGTGTGATGGACTAATATGCAGAATGAGATTACATATTTTCTGGCAGGGCCAATATGGGGATTTGTTTTGCTCAACTACAAATATGTGTCATACAGGTGGTGGTGGTGGTGGTAGTGTTTTTCTGGGAGAGGAGGAGAAAAAAACAATACTTAATAAATAAGATATGAATAAAAAATAAAAGCTCTTAAAAGAAAAAATAAAAATACAAGAGCCCAGAGAAATCTAGATAGGCAAATTTATTTGAGCAACCAGAAGGAGCTATATGATGACGTAATAGTAACATTCTGATAGAAGGAAAAGAAATAAGCGTCCCTCCAGAATTTTAATGTCTTCAAAGGGTACCGAGAGTTAAATAAGAAAAACAGAGATCCCGGGCTGGGGGTGGAGGAGAGGGGGATATCAGTTCTGCTTTGAGGGTTTTAAGAGGGGAAAGAGAAGGAAGGATAAAAGTAATAGGAGAGTAACTATAAATAGGAGAGCAAAAGGAACTTGGTATTTCTTATAACTGGGGTGCTTGAGAATGAAAGTATACCATTATGAAAGAAGGGAAGTAAGAAGAATGAACATCAGATGAGCCTCACTTTTATCTGAAATGGACAAAGGAGGGGACTCAAACTAAACGAACAGAATCAGAACTGGCACTGAGACCTTCTAACTCCAGACCTTGGGCTCTGACACCTGGCTGATTCTTTAAGTTTTGTATAATCCATTATCTACAAAAGATCCTAAGATATAGAGCGGGGGGGGGGACCTTTAAAGTTTTCTAGTCCAACTCCCACCTTTTATAGATGAAAAAATCGAGGCCCAAAGAAATGAAGTAACTTGCCCAAATGTATATAAACGAGAAGAGCCGCAACTCAACACTGGATCCTCTGCCTCAAGCTACACTCAGGGATCTTCCTACCATACCAACCCACCCTCTTCCCTCATTCTCTGAGCAGCTGTACTTGTTTTTCAAAGCCTGCTTCACTGACCCATCCTTTCCTCCACTGGTTTACCTTTTGCCTGACAGTGCCATTTAGAAGTTGAATTTTATCTTTTTATACTTAGATTCTCAGAATGTCAGAAATGGAAGGGACATCAGAGATCCTTCAGTCCAACCCCCTTATTTTACAGATAAGGAAACAAGCTCAGAAAGGAGAGTCCTGTCAAAGGGCACACACCTAGCAGTAGCAAAGCCAGGATATGAATCACGGTTTCTTGAGTTCCCAGAGTAGTGTTCTTTCCTCATGTGACATGACTTTTAAAAGTCCTCTCCTATCCTTTCCTTTAAATTAAGTATTGCTCCAAACTTCTGTGATTCAGTAGCCCATTTTGTTCTAATAATTTGGGCTTTACTTATTCTTCCTAAACAATCTTACTTCTAAATGGTCCAATCTATTTTCTCCACAAGAAATATTAATGTTACTTTATTTTTCATAATCTTCATGTTGATAAACATTTTATTCATAAGGTAGATTTCTTCCGCATAGAGAGGCACTCTAAAGTAGGAGACAACATTTCCTAATAAATAGTTCCTTTTTCCAACCACAAAAAAATGGTCATGAAATATACAGTATGTTATTCACTAAAAGCCAAGTCACATAGGCTATATTTATTTTCAGCCGTAAAAAACCCAAACATCAACATAAGAAGAAACAAAGTAGAACAAAACAAGAAACATGATTTGATAAGTTAGCTGCAAAATCTAGTCATAATTGGATAAAAAGGAAAAAAGTCCTTAGACATAAGCAATTCTTTTACAAACTGTGGTAGTGTTATTAAAAAATAACCATCCTCAGTGCTAACATTTAGTACAATAAGGAAATACATTCAATACTGCGACAACAAATTATATTTCAAAATCATAACAAAGTTATAATACTTCATTTGACAACACTGGAGTTCAACAACACGGACAATTCCATTTCTATTCAAAGTCAAAACCTGGCAGGAAATGGCGGCATTTCTTTTGGAAAATGCCAGTAGCTGAATTCAAAACATACCTTAACTCATTCCCTGGGTTTTACTTAGTGTTTTTATATAACTACCTTTCCGTCTGAACTTTATAACCTATTTCTGAAAGATTTTTTAAGCATTTGGAATATAACTATCAGAAACAAGGTACTCCCTAAATGACACAAAAAAATGAAAATCCCAATGATATATTTAGGCCTAGGCACTTTCTGTCACTTTGGCTAGATGATCCTGCAGATTAATACAAATGCACTTTATGGTTGTTTTAATTCCGTTAGTATCTTGTTCTACATTTACTATAAAGTGACTGATCCCTGTATTGGGGCTGACTGAACTGAGTTCAGATTTGCTTAGATTTGCTGGTAAGGTACACTCCAGATCAACCACAAAATAAGTAAACATATTTCTCATGTAAGCCCCATGACTTACCACCAATATATTAGCATCTAACTCTTGGGCAACACTGTCTGAATTAAGATCAGGTCCACAATTGCTTCCTAATGGAAATGTTTCTGTTAGAAAGGCCTTCAGGCCACTGTCTATTATTCCTGACGATTGGTGTCCTTTCTGACCCGCTTCATCCAGCACCAGTTGACAAAGAAATTCAAAAAAGTCCTTTGCTCGTGATTTCACCTACAAACAAACAAATAAATAAATGAAGAATTTCCAATAAGAAAAGTGGCTTGACTGCTCTTCTGGCTTTGATAATCCCATTTTAACATTTCATTTAAAATTACAGACTTGTTCATCCAAATCACAAATTTATAAATTAAAAGGGACCTCAGAGGTCATTTAGATTAAGTCAAGCCTGCAGCATAAATTGCTTTCCCCAAGATCCTTAATAGGTAAGTGGTCATCCAGCCCTTTTCTTCCAGAAACAAGCAATCTACTATCTCATAAAGGAATCCATTAGATTTTAGGTTATGAAATGTAATTGTTAGCTCTTCCTTATGTTGAGGCAAGATTTATCTTTCTCAAACGTTTACCTGTTCCTGTTCCCTGGCCCCTCTGGAGACCAGGAGTTTATGTCTCATTCCTCTTTCTCAAGAGAGATAACTCTAAATATTTAAAGAGGGTGGTTTCTTTTCTGAAGAAGGCCCAGGTTATCAATGTCCTTTAAAATTTCCCCGGGGCAGCTAGGTGGCGCAGTGGATAGAGCACCGGCCCTGGATTCAGGAGGACCTGAGTTCAAATCCGGCCTCAGACACATAACACTTACTAGCTGTGTGACCTTGGGCAAGTCACTTAACCCCACTGCCTAGCCAAAACAAAAAAAATGTGTTTCCCCAAACTACACATGGTACTTAAGATGTGGTACCAACACAGAGTACAGGGGCACTACCACTCCCTTAATTTGTTCATCTGTTTAAAACATCTACATGATTTGTGCTATTTGATTTTACACTACTTCCACTTTTATCACAGAGTAGTGGATAGAGAATTAGTTTCAAAGTCAGGGAGGCCTAGATTCAAGTCTTCTGATATATACTGAAGGTGGGGGGCTCTAGGCAAATCACTTAACGGATCAGTGTCCCAGGCAACAAGACTAACCCTCTATGTTGCAGAGCAGGTGCCAACACAAATTACTATAAGGGGTTTCCTTAGCAGAAGTTCTCTAAACCAATGGAATCAGAAATCCAGTCAGAAAAAAGGTCCTTCTCCGATGCATCATTATGGCAGAAGCAACACTGGGTACTAAGTTTATGACAATGCAGCACAAGTTCTATCAAGTCTTATACCAAGATAGAAAAAGGCTCTGAATAAAAGTCTGACAATGACTACCATTCGAGGACTGGCCTTGCTAAAGTTCAGTGAAGTTGGCAACATTTTTCATTCACAGCAACTCTTGGTAACTGTCTAAAGGGGTTGTAACAGCTGCACTTGTCATGAAATACTAACATATTGAAATGCTAAAGGTTTTATGTCAGTCTTTCAAGCTGCACACATAACAGGCAATTAATCAACTTACAAACATTTATTAAGCATTTATCATATTCCAGGAACTATGATACATACCAGGTAAGCTAGAAATATATGACAAATTTTATCAATTCAACAAATATTCAAGTATTTATTAAGCAACTATGTGCCAGGCTCTGTGCTCAGCACTGGGGATACAAAGACAAAGCTAAGTAAGATTAATCTCATTTGTTTAAAAAACCAAGTTAAACATAGTCAAAGCATCTGCCAAGGTCTGCTGACATCTGTGACTACTTGTTTTCTACACCTTCCAAGTTATCCTACTTGGTATTTCTTCAACTTGTCACCTTTCTGTAAGCCTTTTTATTTGTTCCTCCTTTACCTTTTAACAGGATTTCTGTCTGAAGCAGAATTCAGAAGGTCTGCATGGTCACTCATGTCCTACCTTGTTTCTGACCTTCCCAGTTTCTCTTGACCTCCAATCCTTAGGTATTCCCTGATTTCTGCCTACACTTCCATTACCAATATATTTTTTGTAAGTGCCTAGAAGGAAAAGAACTGTTTCATTGCTGTTTTTGTATCTTCACCAATGCTATGGCCCACCCTTCTCCATGGAGAAAATTTTAAGATACTGATGAGAGGGAAGAGGTCCACTTTGTTTTCTCCAGTAGTGAGAAAAGCAGTTAACTAAGGAACTGATTAGTGACTACAGTTCTGTAATATTAACCCCAAACTATATTTTAATATATTATCATCTTTTCCTTATTCAAGATTCCTCTGAATGTGTCCTCAAATTCTCACAGGTGTAATTATAGTGGAGGGCATAGGACGAATATGCCAATTTGGACATTTCTCTAAGCCGGAAATAACTTGGATATTATATTTATGTGAAATTAATGAGCTTCTGGCAGACCTGTGCCTAAAACACAGAGTACAGAATTAATTTTTTTCTTCTACACTACCTGTTAAATAAAGGCCTCTAGGTCCTTTGACTGAATCCAGTCAAACGGCCACACTTGAGAACCTAGAGGGCCACATGTGGCCTCGAGGCCACAGGTTTCCCACCCTTAGCCTAGACTTCTTCTTTTTTGTACATTCCTCAGCAGACCAAGATTAGGCAAGGTAATAAAAATGACAAAGGATATTTTTCATAAATACATATATAATTAAAACCAGAAAATTCTAAACTCCTTGGAACTTATTTGACATACCATGGCATATGGGTAAATATTTAGTAATAAATTATTCTAGTGCCGTTTTCCTATCAGAATCTCCATGTCCTGATGCTTTCTTTTATAATAAGAACTATCTAATTTATCACTATAAATTCAAAATCTACATGAAATAAAAATTAACCAACAATTAAGCCAAACTATAAATCTGAACGTTTTATATCTTGATCAGACAAAGGAAAAAAAAGAGAGTGCAATGGACCTATTAAAGTACAGTACAACAAAAGAATACATAGTTGAGGAAATCTCAGAGCCTCAAGCTGAACCAACCAAAAAACCATCTCCAAAAACGGTATGAAACTGTCTGGTACTGGCTAAGAAACACAAAGGTAGATCAGCGGAACAGAGCAGACATACAATTTACAACAGTAAATGACTACAGTACTCTTGTGTTTAACCAGTGAAAAGACTTGATTCTGGGGATAAGAATTCACTATTTGGTAAAAATGATCAGGAAAGCTGTCTGACAGAAACTGGGCATAGACCAGTATCTTATACCATTTGCCCAAAGGAAGGTCAAAATGGTTATATGACCTAGATATAAAAGGAGATATTACAAGAAAATCTGAAGAACATGGAACATATTATCTACCAGACTTATGGACAGAAGAACAATTTATGAATAAACAAGAGATAGAGAGCAGTGTGAGGTATAAAATGGATTATTTTGATTATGTTAAATTAAAACGGTTTTGTACGAATAAAACCAACGCAGTGAAGATCAGAAGGAAAGCAGAAAATTGAGGGGAAAATTTATAGACAGTTTCTCAGATAAAGGTCTGTCATCTCAAAAATGAGATAAAAAAACTTCATCAAACTCATAAGAATATGAGTCATCCCTCAATTGATAAACGGTCAAAGGATATGAACAGGCAATTTTCTGATGAAGAAATCAAAACATTTTATAGTAACGTGAAAAAGGCTCTAAAATCATTATTGATTAGAGAAATGCAAATTAAAACAACCTTGAGATATCATTTTACACCTATAAGACTGGCTAAAATGACAGAAGGGGAAAGTGACAAATGTTGGAGGGAATGTGGAAAAATTGTGACACATTGACTATTGGTGGAACTGTGAACTAATGTAACCATTTTGGAGAGTAATCTGGAATTATGCTTGAAGAGTTATTAAAGTGCTTATATCCTTTGACCCAGCAATACTACTACTAAGTCTGTTTCCCAAGATGATTAGGGAAAAAGGAAAAGAACCTATATGTTCTAAAATATTTATAGCAACTCTCTTTGTGAAGGCAAAGACCTAGAAATAGCAGGGATGTCCATCAACTGGGGAACTGCTGAACAAGTTGTGGTATGTGATAGTAATGGAATACTACTGTGCTATAAGAAATTATGAGCTTGATGATCTTAGAAAAACATGGATAGACTTGCCAGAAATACTGAAAAGCAAAATGAGCAGAACCAAGAACACTGCATACAGTAATAGCAATACTGTATTAAGAACTAAGTCATTTTGACTATTACAAATATCCAAAATGACTACAAAGGACCTATGAAGAAAGATGCTGTGCCCAGAGAAAGAAGTGATAAATAGAAGTATGTATAGAACGGTTTTACATATATACATACATACATGTATATATATAATTTGTGTCTAATGTTAGCCATCTCTGGGGGGGTTGCGGAAAAGGAGGGAGGGGAAAAAAAGTTATATGATAACTTTATTATATATTTTGAAAAAACAGTAAGTTGTACATAATAGATTTGCTGTTTTATATACAAGCATCTTTTTTTCCCTATTCTACTATGTTATGGAAATGCTTGTTGTATTTCTTAAGTTCAGAATAAAAAAAGTAAAAATAAACCAAAAAAAAATGTTATCAACATGGTCATGTATAAAAACCATTTTCAAAATAAATGAAAACACGAAAAGGAATTATACTCTCAGATAAGGCAACAATACAAATTTATAATGCCAAAAAAAGACAAATAGGGAAAATTTATGATCCTTAAAAGAATTGATGAAAAACATTAACTGTATAAGCATCAAGCGATATTCCTAAACACACTAAGTACACACAAAGGCATTGATATCACGATTATATTAAACTTTAATATTCTTCTCTCAGAGCTGGATAAATCCAAAAGAAAGATAATGAAAATACAGAGCTGAATAGTTGGAAAAATTATATTTGCCTAACCTATGTTGATTTATAAATGGAAATATTAAATAATGCCCATTTCTCAGCATCCCATGATACTTCATAAAAAATAATCATGTATTAAATATCAAAGAAAAAATATTAAGACTGTGTGCTGTACTTTAGCCACAAGTATGCCAGAAACAATTTTTCACTTAATATTTTAAATTTAAGTCATTTCTAGCTTAGAAATAGAAATGTCCAAACTGTCATAGCTCTCCCAACACTCAGGCATTTTCCTCTCTACTCCACAACAACTAAAAGTAACTCTCATAGGTAGGTTTTGAAGAAGAGATAGATCATAATATATTAAACTACAGCTGGAGTTAACATTACCAAAACAGTTACAACTCAGTTTCTTAAATGTTCTTCTTGCAGTGATACAAGGGACCTCCTTCCTGTTATCAGTAGCCTAGTCCTTTCTCAATGGAGAGGACTGCATCATAGCTACTGAGGACGGAGGAAAAAAAATAATGCCCTAAGATGAGTCACTGGACCATTCCAGGGAAGGTAATATTTTAAACCAGACAAGTACTCAGCTCCAAATTCACCGCATTCTTTTTTGTAGGCAATTGTGGTTAAGTGACTTGCCCAGGGTCACACAGCTAATAAGTGTCAAGTGTGTTTGGTCTGAGGCCGAATTTGAACTCAGATCTTCCTGACTTCAGGGCCGGTGCTCTATCCACTGCACCACCTAACTGCCCCCAAATTCACCACTCTTAATCCATTTGTTCATCTGTTCTTAACCTAACCAATCTTTCTAAGGGGAAATGTAGGGAAAGGATTTTTAAACTAGAGAAATATTTATTTCTTATAATTTCTAGTTGAACTAAAAAGAATCATTTTATATACTTCTGCATAGGGCATAAAAGCATCTAAAATTTAAAAAAAAAAAAATATATATATATATACACACATATATATATATATATGTATATGTAAAAAAGGGTAGAAATATAAGTTCATCCTTTACAGACCATAAAGCAATATTAAGATGATCACAGGATTTTCACCAACTGTACTAGGAAGCAATTTTATACTCAGCTTGCCCACATCCACTCACTAAACCCTACTGGACCTGGGAGTGAATAGGGGGAGAAAGGGAGAGGGAGAATATGATTCTGCTTTTCATTAATCATGGAGATGTTTCATTTCATGAACTCAATATACACTAATATATTTATATTAGCCCACTGATAACTAAGTCAAATTTTAGTTATTTTGTATAAATAGCAATTCCAATAAGTAATAGCATACCTGATCTAATGTTTCTCCTTCAGGGGGTGTGAAATTAGGGCACTGTTCCCCAGCTGCTTTGGCCAATGCCTTTAATTCACACAGAGGTTTGCCTTCTGCAATTCCATATTTCTGCAACAGTACAATAGGTAAAATAACAATGTAATTTAAGGTATTTGCAACACAACAATACCCATTTTTAACACAAGACTTATAGCCCGAATAAATAAATAAGCTTGCAAATAGCAAGCTTTAACTGCCTCACATTTCTGATGTTTCTCCATACCACTCTTCCATACTAAAAATGAAAATAAGTACTGTCATCATCATGCATCCAGGAGAGATTCACTAAGAGGCATGGTTCTATATACCTAATATATAGAACCAGAAGTAACTAGATTAAGTTACCCATCACTATGTCCTCAAGTTAATTTTTTGGAACTAATTAAAATAAATAAAAAGACCATACTCGTGTCGTGATTAAAAACACGTGATAAAAAGAAGCTGAGACACAGAGTTCCAGGCATGATCAATTTATTAGCAAAGCTAGTAATTGCCAATAAATGGGGTCCAAGGCTCCTCAGCAACCAAGAACACATCTGACAATGATGGCAGCTCTTTTATAGTCTAACAAAGGAACCTTAAAATGGACAATGACGTCAATCTGGCCCAACAGAAGTATATCTCACTTCTGATTGGTCAGTGCTAAGGACGCTAACCACAAATTACATCAATTTTTCATCAGCTGGGCAGACATCCTCTGCAAAGGCCCGTGGTTGACAATTTCGAAGGGAGAACAAGGCACTTGTGGTTTATATATTAGCAATTTCTGACAAATTAGAACAGGATTAGAATTTTGTGTCTGAAAATTCCTAAGGAGGGAAACTTGCAGCTGCAGGCCTAAGGAGTTCAAAATTCACATATTAAGAGAAAGCAACTAATACACAACATCTTGAGTATTAATACACAGTAAAATGATTAAGACTTAACAAAATAATACCAAATAAAGTGGGATATCAATTTTCAATTCCACACCAGTTACTTCTTAATAAGTTTTTGCAACTTAGATTTTCTTTAAAAACCTCTGCATATTTAATACATAAAGAATACACCATCTCAGGTATAATTACTTCGATTTTTGTCCCTGAATTGCAATTTTAAAATTATCACCTAAGATTTTTAAATATCACTAGAGAAGCAGCATGGAACAGTGATAGAAAGCTGACTGAGAAACTAAGAAATCCTGGTTAAACTCAGTCAAGTCCTACTGCTGACACATACTGGCTACATAACCCTGCGAAGTCACACTTCACTTCTCAGTATTCTAGGCAATTCTGACCTGCATCTACAGAGAGAATTTCTTCACCCAGGAGTTCCTGATATTAATGAAACCACAAGCCCAGCTATCCTTATCCTGAGTAGCTACAACTCATCATGATTCTAACATGACATCCAAAAAAAAAATCCAATGGTGGGGTAAACTATTTTTAACTTGCTACCAAAAATACGTAATGAACTGCCCTTTCACTCTTAGATTACCTACTGACATAGAAATGGGAAAATGTAATCAAAGTCCTTTCTCCCTCTGTACCATCCTGCCCCCATCCCCATTCTGAAAAGGAAAGGCAAAAAGATATCATTTCCATTGCTTTAATTCTTCTTAAAAACTAAGTGCTACTTATCTATAGGAAACATTAATTTTACATATGCACACATGTATATATGAATAAGACTTTGGGGACATCATCATCATAACTAATATTTACATAATGCTTACTATGTGCCAAGCACTGTGCTAACCACTTTACAATTATTATCTCACTTGATCCTTCCAACAATCCTCTAAGGAAGGTGCTGTTATTATCCTCATTTTACATTTGAGGAAACTGAGGCAAACAGAGGTTAACTGACTTGTCCAGGGTATCTTATACCACATGCGTGTGCATATATACATACATATACGTATATATGTGTATATATGTATAGATACCACACATACACACACACACACACACACACACACACACACAATAATAATTTTAATTTTAAAATTGTTTGCCATATCTGATAGTGATTGCTCCACTTCTCTTTATATAAATAGTTAGGTCCCTCACTAGATAGATGGTTAAAGGCCTAAATGGGGTTAGGATTCAGAGTGAAAAGAGAGACATTTTTTAGAGCTCAGAAAGACCTCGGACCTCTAATCCCTTCACTTAGATAACTTAATTGATGCCCAGGTCATTTTTCTAAAGTTATGCAGCTAGGTATGGCAGAGATGGGACTGGAACCCAGGTATCCTGAATCTCAGCCCACTGTTCCCTAGACAAAGAAGATTAAATATTACTATTTAATAAGATTTATACCACTGTAGGTTGCCTAAGTTCTATTTAATATTAAAACTGGATTAAAAAAATTAAACCTCCAGGTCTTCTGCCCCATTTCACTCAGAAATCATTGAATTACAGGACTGGCAAGAACATCAAATGATTACCTACTATATCCCAATCAAGAGTTCAATTGTGTCACACCTAATGACTATCTGGAAAACTGCCCACTACATCTGCAAGCTCCTTGAGGGCAGGAAAATCTAATTTCCACTCTGTTTCACTGAAAGAACCTAGTACAATGTTTCACATACAGGTTTTTAATAAATATTTGCTGAATTAAAGCTACTTAGCACCAGACAAGTTTTTCTTTTATTGAAAAATGGATGACCACTGGGAGAAAGACTCTGGGCCTTAGTCACTCTCTGCCCCAGGAAAATAACACGTGGTCTTCAGTCCAAAATCAACCTATATGACCCTGGGTCTGGTGCAGTTTCTATCTGTAAAAGACATTTCCTTATAACTAAACAGTTAGTATACTAGAACTAGTAGAGCCGCTAATCACCTGAATATTGTATAATAGACTATTAAGAGGTGGAGCGCTTATTACATTTGTATCAATTACTAATTGTAATTAAAGATGAATGCAATGAATTTATTATAAAATTCATGTTGTCCACTACCACAAATTTGTGTTGACCCTTCTCAATACGCTCAATACACTAGCAAAATTATATTCTGGCATTTGCTAGGTTTTAACATCAGAGGTGATTTAGGGAACTCCAATCTTGTACTGCTCTAAACTATTCCTAAAGCTGATTATTTCCCTCAAATATGAGGGAATACACTAATAGAAATAAAAAATCAGAGGAGTGGTTCCCAAGCCACGGGGCCCTGATTTCTGAGATTCCAAAGAGGGACTATAAAAGGCAGTGTGCATTCTCAAGCGCAACAAACATGGTCATTCTGTAGAATGAAAAAATGAACGATGTGCTTTGAACCAATTTGTTTGGTCTTTTTATTTAGGATTCAGATTTATAATTTCATTAAGGTAGAAAACTTCTAGGTTAAGAAAGCTCCCTCAATCAATGAAGATTAACAACTGCTCTGCAAATTAGGCTTACAAGAACATTACCTAGAGCGTTGAGAGGTTAAATAACTTGCCCCAGGTCACAAAGCCAGTATATGTCAGAAGCAGGATTTGAACCCAGGTTTTTCCCCAAATCCAAGGCTAGCTTTCTATCCACTATGACACTGCCTCTCAAATAATATATGTACTACTATTTCTCAAATGAGTGTAGATGCTCTTGTCATTAATAAAATACAAAATCATTTAGAAATGTTATTATATTCACAGTAATTTTGTCATTGCAGATTTTATAAGAAAATAATTATTTAGTGATGAAGGGGACCTGAGAAGTTATTTAGTCTATGTCTCTTCACAGAATATGAAACTAAAGCCCATAGGGGTTAAGTGACTTGCTTAAAATAATAAAGGAAATAAGTAGCAAGGCCAGGATCCAAATCAGGTCCCCTTGACTCTAAATCCAGTCAATGCTCTTCTGATTTCACCACAATGACATCTCAATTAATGGTACCACTACCACCCTGTGGGGCTCCCTGAATTTTTTTTACATTAAAAAGTGGTCCTCTAGGTCTGTGTCCCAAAGAGATCATACAAATGGGAAAAGGACCCACAGGTACAAAAATATTCATAGCAGCTCTTTGTGTGGTGGCAAAGAATTGGAAATTGAGGGGATGCCCATCAATCGGGGAATGGCTGAGTAAGTTGTGGTATATGAATGTAATGGAATAATACTGTGCTATAAGAAATGATGAGCAAGCAGACTTCAGAAAAACCTGCAAAGACTTGGATGAACTGATTCTGAGTGAAGTGAACAGAACCAGGAGAACACTGTACATAGTAACAGCTACAATGTGTGATGACTAACTTTGATAAATTTGTTTCTTCTTAGCAATGCAAGGATTCAAGACAACTCCAAAGGACTCATGATAGAAAATGCTGTCCACATCTAGAAAAAGAACTATGGAGTCTGAACGCAGATTGAAGCATATTATTTGCTCTCTCTTTTTTTTCTTTTTTGTTTGTTTCTTCTTTCTCATGGTTTCTCCCATTGGTTCTAATTCTTCTTTACAACATGACTAATGTGAAAATAGGTTCAATATGAACATATATGTGGAGCCTATATCAAACTGCATGCTGTCTTGGGGTGGGGAGAAAGGAGAGATGAGGAGATAATCTGGAACTCAAAATCTTATGGAAATGAATGCTGAAAACTAAAAGTAAATAAATTAATTTTAAAAAAAACCCCAACAATAACAAATAAAAAAGTGGTTCTCATTCTTGGTCCTGGAAAACATGTGAAACACCATCCTCTACAGAGAAATGGGGGACTATAGTTATAAAATACTGTATAAGATGTACCATATGGCTGCCTTGTTGGTTGTTTTAACTTAGTTGTTTTTCTCTCTTACAAAAGATAGTTTAATGCAGAGCAGAAGGTCTATGAGAAAATTACTGTGGGTTTAAAAAAAACACAAGAGCTATCAATTAAACTTTTTAAAATAGGTTAATATACTCGAAAAAGTTGGAAATTATTGCTATAGAACAGAAGGAAGTAAACAGTTAATAGACTGTTGGCATATTTAGATAAGGAAGCATAGCACTGAAAATCTATATGGGGAAAGTATAGAACTTCCAAAGCTTTTTGCAAGTAGCACTTCATCAGAAAACAGCAGGTCATCTAGTATAAAGTCATATTATTTTTACAAATAAAGTAGCTTCTTGATTTATTTTTGGAAAAGCATATGTTATTAATTAATTATCTGTTCCAACACTACAGCAAGAATCCTCAACACTTACTCTTTCTCGAAGTCTTGTATCATATTTCACTGTTGCTTCTTTACAAAACCTGCTTTTCTCCAAAATCATGGCAGTGGTCTAAAAATATAAAGTGAATTAGTTCTCTTTTTCATAAATAATTTGCTTTGAGTAGCTATGAAAATAAGCTATATGAAATCGCAATACATTCACCATTTCACCTATACATCAAAGGTCAAAATAGGATAGATATGCATCTCCTAAATGACTAAAATTAATATTCCCCATCTCACCCCCATGTTGATATAGGTAAGGCATCAGCAAACTTTGGCCCATGAACCAAATTTGGCCTGTTTTCTGTTTTTGTATGGCCTGTGAGGTTAGAATGGTTTTTACATTTTTAAATAAAGTACAACAGGCAATGGGCCACAACTGGCCCTCAGGCCATAGTTTGCAGATCCCTATATAGATTTATTTGCTAACGTGTAATAAGTGTTCCTTTTACTATGTAGTCTACCTACCTAACAGGTAGAGAAAAGATTTAATATATGGTAGCGTTCAAAAGCTTTTTTAAAATAAAAATGAATATATTATTTATTTCCCAGTCCTTAGTAGCTATTACCACAACAACACACTTATGATCTTATCTTACAGCTTATGCACAGCTTCTTAAAATGTCTTATCATCCTTGGGCATAAATAAGCCAATAGAACTACTAAGGATTAAAACCCAAATAAAGACTTACCTGTTTTGTACGCATGAGATCACTTGAGAAAACATGAGTAAACTTCACATTACTAAGAAATTCACCAGCAGCAGCTGCTTGTCTAAAACCAGTTTCTGAAAGAGGCACATCTACACCTTGTCCTAAGAAAGAAAAAGAAAGGAAGGAAGGAAGGAAGAAAAATCACTTAAGAGAATCAGAATTTCATTATTTCATCATCTACATTTGTTCAAAGAGAAGATGAGCTGGGTGTGCCTTCCATAAAGCTCAGCAGAGAGAAGTAAGGCATCCATAAGGAAGCAGTAGCTCAAATTAACTACATCCCAAGAGAACATTTTACATAGGTTAGTGCCTTAGTGAAGAACACTCAACTACCTCTGGTCTTATTAGCAATTTGTATTATTTTTCGCATTTTTCTTTACTCCAATCTCTTCTTCAGTTGCTTTTTAGAACACATTCATCCAAGTGAACAATGGTAAGATCTGTGACAGCGAGAAACCTGTCATTCATTTCTGCTTTTTCCTTACGGTCTGACACAATGACTTGCACATACTATCCAGTCAGTAATCATCGGGTGAATGAATTATTTTATTTACATGTGCTTTAAATGGAACAGTCACCCATCCCCAGTTTGGGAGACTCATTCCTCTCATTCACTCGCATTCATTCATCCATTTATTAAGCATCTACTACGTGCCAGGTATGAGGTACTCACTATATGTCCTCTGAATTGGGGCTGTTCACTGCTTAGGATAAAATGAATCTGTTTAAAATGATCTGATGGTATTTTCTCTGGCCTGATTAACTACACAGTGAAACTAATTTAGTGGTCCAAGACAAAGTTATTGGCTGTATCTAGTATCAGTGGCTTTCTAGAGGTTAGTCATTTTTTCTACTCCTTCCACATATCACCCTAAATGAGTGAAATCTTTCATTTTAGCATAAGCCCTCCCTATCATGCACAGCAAAGAATTTTATCCACTTATATTGCTGACTTCTTTAGCTTACGAGGTAAATAACAGCAAAAACCATTTGGATAAAGAGGTCAAGTCTACAGACTAACTTGGGGCAGAGTACATATCAAACAGGAAGATCACAAAAAAAGCTTCATTTAGGATTCAGGAAGCAGGGCAAGAGGATCATAGGATGAAAAATCAGATTTTTCCCAGGAACGTAGATTTAAATACACCAGGAGTGAAAATCAGTTTCTGTAAACCCCAGGAAGGAGCTGCCTTTATCACAAAATGAAGCTAAATATTTTCAAGACTGAAGTACAAAAATAGTCTGTTTAGTCAGGTGTCAAGGAGCTTAAAACTCAAAAGATCTGACTGTAAGATAAGAGGACTACTCAGAAGAGTCTGTTCAGAATACAAGCAGGGGTAGAAATAGGAGACTTCTATTTAGTCCTCCTCTTCGGAACCCTAGAAGGAAAGAGCAGCAACACCACACAGTGACATTGATTACACCAAATCATTTTTAATTTGGTCAGTTTATTTTTAAAACAAACTGTAATATAACTCTTTAATCAGTTGATTTTGCTCCCCTTTGAAGTCACTTATGAGGAATCACTTGGGAAAACTTCTTGCATTCAGTTCACTTCTAAAATTAATCAAATAAATTGTTCTCATCATACTTCAGCCATTCTGATACTTTCAAAGACTCTTATTAGCTAGATCATATTAACACTAAAGGAGATTTCCAAAACAATTGTATTTGCAGTAGGATTAGACCAACCTTGAAGTATTTTCTCTCTGTTATATCTTGTTTCTCCACTGAAATAGAGAGAAACATACTCTGATTATCATATCATGCTATTTTGAGACACGGAAAAAATACAAGTAACAAAACTCTTACAACGATAATGGTACAATGAAGGTAATGCAGCTATAACCTATATCACAATATAATCTACAGAAATACAAATACTTGAAACAATGTCCAAAAGGTCTTTAATGGAGGCAGCACAATACAGGGGAAAGAAAACTGGACTGAAAGTTGGAGAACCTTTATTTAAATGCCAGCTCTCCCACTTCACCTGTCTGACCTTGGCAAGCCACAGAACCTTTCTGGAGCTCAGTTTCCTCATCCATAAAATAAAGGAGTTGGTCTAGAAGACATCTACAACTTGCTGCAGTTCTAAATCTTTGATCCTATGATTTATGGTTCTACATTTTACTGACACTAATCATCTATTAACAGCCATTTTATTTGAAGTACAACTTATATGTTGTTGTTATTACCAATACTGTTAATAACTCATTTCATGTAGTGCTCAACAATTTACAAAGCACTTTCCTCACACATACACACACAAAAAAGAGTTGGCAATATAAGAATCACACAAACTGCAGCACAGAGAGGTTACATGAATTGCCCATGGTTCCAATGTTCACTGACTCCAAGCCCTATTCCTGGAATCATAGCATTTCAAAGTCATAAAGATAGTTATTTCTGAGTCCACTTAACCCAACACAGAGATCGCTTCTTAGAACATTTTTAATGGAAGTAGTCATGTAGTTTCCACGTAAAGACCTCACTACCTCATAGAGCAGGCCATCCCACATCCTGAAAGCTCTGCTAGGAAGTATTGCCTTCTAACAAGCTGAAATAAGCTACTCTGAGCAGCAGCTAGGTGGTGCAGTGGACAGAGTATTGTCCCTGGATTCAGGAGGACCTGAGTTCAAATCCAGCCTCAGACACATAACACCTACTCGCTGTGTGACCCTGGGCAAGTCACTTAACGCCACTGCCTAGGGCCCCCCCCCCCAGCTACTCTGCAAGTTATATCTCCTACTCTGTGTTCTGCACTCTCAGATTGCACAGAACAATCTAATCCCAGAGTTCTTAAATCCTTTTGTATGTCACGGATTTCTTAGGCAGTCTAGTGAGGCCTCAGGACCCTTTTTCAGAATAATATTTTTAAATACTAAATAAAATAAGCAGAAAATAAAATAAGTAGGATTACAAAGGAAACCAATTATATTAAAACAGTTATCAAAATATTTTTAACAAGGTCATAGACCCTAGGTGAGGAACCCCTGGTCTCTTCCAGGACAGCCCTTCAACAGCTTTTAATGTTTAATCTGACAGCTTCAATCCATTGGACAGGTATTCTTTGAATTTCTGGAGCAATAGTTTTAAGTTTAGTTCACTTTGGGAAATGAAGACAGAAGATAGAAAGCTAAATAATTTCACTATTAGTCCAAAGCCTTAAAATGTTTTTAAATAAAATGTTTTTATTGCAAACTCAATCATCAGTACAAATATTATGTATAGAATAAGAATAAATTACATAAGAAACTTGTATATATACAAACATGTATGTAAATACCTACAACTACACACATGCATATATACGTATGTATATATATATATATATATCAATGAATGTACACACACATACATATGCACACGTGTGCATGAGCACACATGTGCGTGCATACCCGCTCGCACACACACACGCCCACACACCTTAAAAGTAGTAAGAAAACCACTCTGTGTCCTCTTAAAGCTAAAACTACTTTTATGACAATGGCAATAAAGGCAGATAGAACTAGCAGGCCAAGGCAGTGTATTATGAAGGAGTTCATGGTAACAACATTCAATTTCACATTCTGCAGCATATGATCCATTTCCAAATACCATGGCTCTGCCAGAATACAAACGTTTATGCCAAGAGTCTCATGACCAGCCATTTATAGGTTCTACAAATAGACTCCACTCATTTTTGTAGGCTATTCTCCACTGTACTTTAAAATTATGTCAACTTTTTTGAAGTCTAGAATTTCTCATTTCCCAGCCAATACTAACAACTTAAAAACTCATCATTCAATTAATTAAAGAGCTTCCCCAAAATGGAAGCCCAAAGCAATGATATGAATGTTCTCTGAGTTAAAGTAATATAAACTAGTGAGTTATTATTATGGGAAACAGTAAGATTTGCATTCTCTCGGCACTTTTGATACAAAAGTTAATTTAAAAATCTGTTAACTTGCATGCATCATACAATGTCCTCATGTCATTACAAAACCCATTTGCCAAATTAGTCAAAATATAGGACCATTTCTCCTCAAATTTGGTTTGTTATACACCTAGGTGTTTTTATATACATGTTTGTTCCTCCCTCATCCTTCAAAGAGATCCCATTTTAGGGGTCAAATGGAACAATATTTGAACCAATATGGTAAAATACTCATAACACTGATTTTAAGAACAGTTCACTAAAATGCCAGTTAGGAAAGGTATACCTATAATGCTTCAGTGAGTTAAATTATCAAGTTTGACACAGAATATACAAAAGAAATTTAACTGCTAAATTAATTCTTGGTTTCTTAATAGCTCAGCAATGAGAATTCTAATAGAAAATTTAAATGACATTAATTTCAAGAGGTAGTAGTTTAGAAATATTTGCTTGATGCTTTCAGAAAAAGGTAAGGCTTTTCAGATTCTAAACCCAAAGCATATGTAAATTAACTTAATTAACCATAATTTCACAAAACAAAAAGCCCCTTTGATAAGGATCAGATATATCACTTAAAAACAGATTGCTCCCCAAGCAGAAAATAGAATACTATTATAGTTCTATTTAACACATCACAGAACAGCTTAAAAAACACCAAGAATGTTAACATTCAACAAATGCTGTGCATATAAATTTGAAGTATGGCATAGTGCAAAGCTTCTTTAAAGTGTGATCTGGGGACCCCAAGACCCTTTCAGGAGGGTTGTGAGGTCAAAAAAATATTTTCATACTAAGATATTTTCATTTCTAACATGATAAATATTGATAGGGCAGGTAGGTGGTGCAGTGGATAGAGTGCTAAGCCTGGAGTCAGGAAGACTCATCTTCCTCAGTTCAAACTTAGCTGTGTGACCCTGGGCAAGTCACTTAACTGTTTACTTCAATTTCTTCACCTGTCAAATGAGCTGGAGAAGGAAATGGCAAACCACTGGAGCCACAAACACATGACTGAAAAAACGACTGAACAAATATTGATAGATACAACCCAAATAAACAAAAGATCTTTGAGAGATTTTTTAAGAATATAAAGGGGCCCTGAGACCAAAAAATTTGAGAACAGCTGGCATTGTGAATAAAGGCAATCCTGCCAGTCTCAGACACACTGACAGTGTGACAGTGGATAAGTCACTTACCCTTTTGGTGCCCCAGGCCACTCTCCAAGATATAAAACAGCAGCAGATTTGCAATGATTGAGGCAGTTTCCAGTTTCCCAAAGCCCACAGGAGTACTTATATAACAAAAGAAACAGTTCCTTCCCACAAATCCTATAATAACAGTTTGTTTTAGCAAAATGAGCTTTTAACACTTGTCAGTGTTTAATTTTTGAAAAAGTAAAAGTTAAGCATCCAGACTAAAAAAGCAAAGTGAATGCAGATGAATTACAATGTTCTAGTATCCAGTTCATAATATGTCAGGACTTGGAGAAATACTTCCATCTGTGCAAGTCCCTTGTAATTTTAGCCTTACAGATGCTGGATTTTTGGAAACTATTCTGTAATAGAGCAGGAAGCCATTACCTTAATGACTGGTAGATTCAGAAAAGGATGAAAGGTCAGACCCAAAGGGTAGTAAATAATGGTTTCTTATCAACTTGGAAGAAGGTATCTAAAACGGATCTGTGTTTGATCCTGTTCTAGTTAATGTTTTTATTTATCACTCAATTTGGCACGATTGCCAAATTCATTGAGGACACAAAATTTAGAAGAGACAACTAAAGCACTAGATAATACATACATGATTCAAAAAGATCTTGACAGGCTAAGAACAATGGCTCAAATACATATTTTTTAAAGTAAAGAAATTTTAATAGTGATAGTATCTTATGCCTAAGTTCAAAAAAATCAACTTCATAGTACAAAATGGGTCTCAGTTTCCCCATCTGTGAAATAAGGGCTCCAGACTAAATGATCTCTCAGTTCAAAGCCTGTGATCTCTAGATCTGTTTCCTCATTTCTAAAATGAGGAGGTTAGACTAGATCAGAGGTGTCAAATATACATGACACATGCAACACTCCCCAGTGAGACTTCTACCAGATTAAAAATACAATAAACAGGGGCAGCTAGGTGGCGCAGTGGATAGAGCACTGGCCTTCAAGTCAGAAGAACCTGAGTTCAAATTCGACCTCAGACCAAACACTTGCCCCTTACTAGCTGTGTGACCCTGGGCAAGTCACTTAACCCCAACTGCCTAAAATAAATAAATAAATGAATGAATGAAAATACAATAAACATATATAACACTACATTTACAAAACTAAGTCAATATGAGGCTTGCAAGGATCCTTATATACAGATTAGTGGCCTGTTTCTATTTGAATGTGACACTGTGGAACTAGATAACCAAGTTCTGGGCTACTTAATAATCAATTCATAGGAAGGCCTCCAAGGTCACGAATCCTGATACTATTTACTAATTAAGTGCTTAGCTTAATAGCAAATAGAAAGAAAATTAATATTATTCATTCAACAGCATTTAAGTGCTTACCCTATGCTAGGTACTGTAGCTACAAAGATAACCATTTAATAACTGGCTTCTTTTGGAATCCAAATCATGATCATCTTGTAAATTCTGTTCTCTTTCTTATGTTTTCTACACACTTAAGCTCATGGACGCAATAAACAACCAACTGTATGCAGCTTAGTTTTTAGTTTTCTACTGTTGGTCATGCCTGTCCTTCAGAAATTACATGCTCAATGATTTATGAATCAAGGAAAACATCAGGAAAGGATACTGGAGAACTGAGTTCTACTTCTGATTCTGCCAGCTGTATGACCTCCAGCAAATATCTTTATCAACTTCCTGTCAGCTCCCTCCATCTGTAAAGTGAAGTTCAACTAATAATAGAAACTACTTGTGTTTTTACAACACTTTAAGGTTTACAGAACATTGTGAAAACTAAATGAAGGGATGTATTTCTTGTCTTAGAAACTAATGCTCAAACAAGCTCATCAATTGCTCAAACAACAAGTATTTATTAAGCTCCAACTTTGTGCCAGGCACTGAGGTCTGTCAACAAACATTTACTACAACAATAAAACACTATGTGCCATGCATACTAAGCACTGAAGATAAAAAAAAAAAGAGGCAAAACAGGTCTTGCCCTGAGGAGCTCACAGTCTATCAGGGGAGAAAAGAAGGGATTAAGTATAAATAGGTAAATACAACAAAAGCAGCAATTTATCCTGGCAAAGACTTATTTTCTAACAAGGGCAACAAGTACAAATAAATGTAAAGCATTTAAATGCAATGTAATCTGAGAGGGACTGAACTAGCAGTTAAGGGCATCAGGAAAGACTTCCCGTTAGGGCTTGAGCTGAGTCAGGAACTTAAGCGGGTGCACAGGTAATGGAGGTGGGGCCTAACCAAGGTTTTTTATACTAAGATGTTTCATCTATTAGATCCTCTTTGAGACAGTTTATACAACTCTCAGAAATCCCTTAATGTCCTCTGGATGGCAAATGCATTTTACATGCTTTCATAGATTCACAGTATATTAGAACTGGAAAAGGACCTAAGAGATTCTTTACTCCAATTCCCCTAGTTTAACTTGAGGCTGAAAAATCAAGGGCCCAGTCAAGGTCACAAAGCCAGTTAGTTGGGTGGAATTAGGTCTGATTTAGTTTAGATTTTTCTTGATCCTAACTCCAGTGTTCTTTCTGTTGAAGCACAATTCCCAAAGTAGGAAAACTCCGATTTGGAGGTAAGCAGGGGGAAGTGATTAACAAAAATGCATTCTATCTCTTACATGACTAGCCTAATTTGTTCTAATTGCACATGTGGGCAGGGATAGGGACTGGACCTCCTATCCTAGAGGAAAGAAAGATAGAGTTCCTACCTCCGGAGCAGATTCAATTAGACCTGGAACACATCTTACAAATCAAAAATCACCTACATTCACATTCACATTACAAATGAGGAAAATAACGCCTAGAATGGATGTTATTTGACCAACATCAAGCAGCTAAGGTCAAATTTGAACCCAGGTCCTCTAACTCAAAAATCTAGTACTCTTTCATCACAACCAAAGGTCTATGAACGAGAGGATGGAGGAACAGTTGTTTCAGAAGAGGAGAATCCTCATTTGGGTCCAGTTTAGAATAAATGGGCTGAGAGGTCATTTCCATGCCTGAGTTTCTCAGATGCTATATCAGGACACCTCTGAGACCACAAGCTGATGGAGGTGGGGAAGGCACTACAGTGATATCACAGTGTGCAATAAGATTTTGATTGGAATTCTGAATCCCACTTAATATTCACAGAGCTAAGAGCAAGTAACTTCAATGCTCTGGGCATCAGCTTCTTTCTCTACAAAATGGGGTGGGGGTGCTGTCCTTGTTTAACCTTTCTTGTTTTCTCATTGACCCCTCTAGCAGCCTGCTGAAGCTTTCTTAGAATAATGTCTTTAAATAAATAAGATACACAGGTCTACAAAGTAAAGAAATTACAATTTCAATTATACTGTCTTACTTACATCAATTATATCGTTTATAAACGATATGTAGTTATTTAAGAACACTTTCATAAATACATTTTATAATTTATTAACATAAAAATTATATTTATAAACAATATAACAATGTAATTATTCACATTAAACAATTATATTGAAATAGTTGTTATTTTTAAGAAATCAATTTCACAGACCCCCCCCAGGTTAAGAACCCCTGCATACTACATCTCTAGTTTCTCTCAGCTCCAAAAATGCAGGACTCTACCAGGGGATCTGCCTTCACTTAAAAGTTGTGAAATGATGTATAGGAGGCAGAGCTATATATAGCATTAGTTCAGGAGTCAAGATGACTTGGGTTCTAATGCCAACTCCCAGATCCAACCTCTGTGACCTCGGGCAAGTTTCATAACCTCTCAGGGCCTCAGTTTCCTCGATCAGATGTGTGCTTAGGTGCCCCCTGGGGATCGGACATTAGGCGCCTGCTGTGTACGAAGAACAACGCTGTGGGTTAGGGGGCAGGCAAAGACAAAAAATTAAAGTCCCTGCTCTCGAGAAGAGTACACGTTTCGGGGCTACCGGATGCTGCTCCTTTTTTTCCTTCCCTTCCCAAAGAGCAGGGCGGGCTCTCTGGTGAAGTGGTTCACGGCGGGGAGGGGAAGGGTCAAAGGGGAAAGGGCTGCGCCCCCTACCCGCACCCCAACAACACAGAGGGCAGGGCGTCGCCTCCCACGTGCTTACTCACTGTCGGACAACGGTTAAAGCGAAACGAGCCATTTTCAGCCCGGCGTCCGGGTGAGGAGAGGTGGGGGGTCAGCGGAGGCCACCAAGAGCAGCCAGCCAGCCAATGGCTCTGGAGACCCCGTGGCGACCGCCCCGCTCAGGCAGCGCCGCAGACGCTCCGAGACTTCCGCCTGCGCACCCCCGGAGCCGCGGGTCAGCCGGCCGGCTCCATCCCTATTGGCGGCGGAGAGGGACGCCCTCACGGCGCTGGCCAATCGGAGATGAGCGAGGAGAGCGGCGTCAGGGAGGGGCTGGCTTGGGGAGGGGTGGGGAAGGAGGAGTGGCTGAGGTTGCTCAGTCCACTCTCGGCTGGGCGGTGGCGGCGGTTGGAACTGCTTGCCGCTCTGCTTTCCGGGCTTGGTTCCAGCAACCAGTCTTCCGGAGATTGGTTTGTGATTTAATTTCATTTTCTGTTTTTTGCTTTTGCCCCGTCAAAGACCATAAATTCTCAGAAGTTCTCATTCTGCCTTCACGATATCTGTCGTTTGCATCCCCTCATTTCCACTCATGCATCCCCCAATCCAGTTCGGGTTCCCTTGCCTTGACCACTGCAGTGACCTCCGTGGGGGTCTCCCTACCTTATTGATTTCCCATTCCAATCCATCCTCTTTCCAGCTGCCAAAGTGACTTTCCCAAAGCGCAGGACCGACTGTCACCTCACAAAAAACCCAAAAAAACCCCAAACCAACTTTCAGTGGCTCCCCCAATATCTATGAGACTAAATATTAATTGATGGCATTTAAATCGCTTCAGAACCTATCCCTTTCCAGCCTTATTACATATTACTCCTCTTCTCACCCACTCTGGTCAAATCAAATTGGCCCTCCTCATTAGGGGTGCTTTATATCCCGTATTTGTGCCTTTGCCCTGGGTGTCCTGGTGCCACTTCTGTCTCTCAGCTCACTCTTACCTTCTTGCATGAGGCCTTTCCTGGTCTTCTAAACTACTAGTACCTTCCTCCTAAATTACCTTGTATCTTCTGGTTCTACCCACCTCCTGTTTTGAGCTCCAGAGGGCAGAAACCCTTACACTTGTGTCTTTTAATTTCTAGCAACTAGCACAGTGAACTGGCAGGCTCTTAGTGAATGCCTGTTGATTGAGTCTTCTTTTTTTAAATAATATTTTATTTTTTCTCTCAATTACATGTTAAAACAATTTTTTAACTTTTTTTTTTAAGTTTTGAGTTCAAAATTCTGTTGTTCCCTCCTCCCCACTACTTCCTGAGATGGTAAGTTTATACATGTACAATCATGTCAAACATTTCCCTATTAGTCATTTTACACAAGAAGACTCGAAAAAGAGAGAGAGATAATATGCTGAATTCAGTCTGTATTCATACAGTATCAGTTCTTTCTTTCAGACTCTCAGTTTTTCTTTGGAGGGGGATAGCATTTTCTATCATGAGTTCTTTGGCATTGTCTTGGATCATTGTGTTGCTGACAGTTCTTTGTCCTACAATATTGCTGTTACTGTGTAAAACAGTCTCCTGTTTCTGCTCTGTATCAGTTCACGTAAATCTTTGCAGATTTTTCTGAAATCCTCCTGCTTATCATTTCTTATAGCATAATAGTATTCCATCACAATCATATACCACAACTTTGTTTAGCTATTCCCCAATTGATGGGCATCTCAGTTTCCAATTCTTAGCCACCACAAAAAAGCTACTATATTTTTGTACAAATAGGTCTTTCACCTCCCCCCCCCTTAATGTCTTGGGGATATAGACCTAGTAGTGGGATTGCTGGATCAAAGGGTATGCACAGTTTGATAGTCCTTTGGGCATAGTTTCAAATTGTTCTCTAGGGTGGTTGAATCAGTTCACAACTCCACCAGCAGTGCATTAGTGTCCCAGTTTTCCCACATCCTGTCCAATATTTACCTTTTTTTAAAATCATATCTAATCTAATAGTTGTGAGGTGGTACCTCAGAGTTGTTTTACTTTTCATTGCTCTAATCAATGGTGATTTAGAGCATTTTTTTCATATGACTATAGATAGCTTTAATTTCCTCATCTGAAAACTGCCTGTTCATATCCTTTGACTTTGACTGTCACTTGGGGAATGACTTGTATTTTTATGAATTTGACTCAGTTCTCTATATATTTGAGAAACGAGGCCTTTATCAGAGATACTTGTTGCAAAAATTTCCCCCAGTTTTCTGCTTTTCTTTTAATTTTGGTTGCATTGATTTTGTTTGTGCAAAACTTTTTTAATTTTATATATCAAAGTTATCCATTTTACATTTTATTTTGCTCACTATATTTTCTTTTGGTCTTAAATTCTTCCCTTATCCATAGATCTGACTAATAAACTATTCCATGCTCTCATATTTTACTTATGGTATCACCCTTTATGTATAAATCATGTACCCATTTTGACAGTATGATTGATTCTTCTTGATTAATACAACCTACTCCATTTAAGACTAAGTGTTTTAAGTCCAAACTTGTCTCTTTTGTGGCTGCCAGACGTCCTTAAAAGTGCATGTGGTGAGCAGAGTGTGTTCCATGTGGCAGTTCAGATGGTTGTAAGGCATTCCACTTATCAAGTGTGTGGGGCACTGATGTGGCCTGGTTTTTTATGCCTTAGGCAACCTGGAAGCTAGTTAATGGTTTGTTCCCTGGCTTAGGTCAGGGTCTAATGACTCAGGTCTGATACCTCAAATTCAAGATTAGAAGAAAATAAGACTTGCTTAAAGTATTTGTCAGTTAAGAAAAAGGAATAATATTTAGGGCAGGGAAAAGATATTCAGTAAAGATATAGCACAGATTAAACTAAGTACAGTTTTCCAGGGCTAGTGAAGGTTTTGTTGTTAGTCTGCCAGTCGAAAGCCTGGGAGAAACCAATGACTGCTCACACCCTAGCTTTTGTACTTAGGGCACTAGGAAATTATATCTATAGCCCTTAATCTACTGAGCCAATGAAGTTGTTTCTAGAATGCTTTCATTAAGTTTTAGGGAAAAAGTAGCCTAGCCTGAGTGGTGTGGGAAAGTAGTGTCAAACTGAAATAGAAACAGGGGTCACTAAAACATTCATGAAGATTCACAAGGACCATATGGCGCAGTGGATAGAGCACTGGGTTTGGAATTAGCAAGACTTATCTTCATGAGTTCGAATGTGACCTCAGACACTTAATAGCTGTGTGACCCCAGGGTCATTTAGCCCTATTTGCCTCCATGTTCCTCATCTGTAAATTGAGCCAGAGAAGGAAATAAGTACTCCAGTATCTTTGCCAAGAAAATTCCAAATGGGATCACAAAGAGTTGGACACTGACAGAAATGACTCAACAACAAATTATTTGTTTTATTGTATTTTTATTTAAATTTTATTTAAATTTAAATGTTTCCTAATTACATTTTAGTCTGGATTGGGCCACACTTGGCCTGGAGGCCACTTGTTTTACACCTCTGGTTTAGAGCCTTAAGATATTGCTCCAGCCATACCTTGGACCCTTGACAAGGTCCAAAAAGTTTTCCAAATGATCTTCTACCACTGAAACGACGTTAGGGCTGTTACTAAGTCAACTCTAATCTTGGAGATGCAAGATGCTTGTCCTAGGTAGCACTGAAGGAGAAAATGAAAAATTTAAAGAGAGAGCAAAAACAAAAGACAATAGGCAATATAATGGCTTCCTAAAGAACCAAACAAATATAGAAGGATGAAATAAAAAATCCTAGGCTTTACTTCTCTATTCTGAAAGAAAAAGCCCTAGATCTTCATGATCTGGCCCACAGGGTAGTTGATGCCAAATGCTTTCCATTCACAGTGTATTTTGTGATAAAAAGCAATGATATTGAGTAGCATCAGGATTAGGAACAGGAGGGCTACAGCACAGATTATGACACTTTGGGCATTGTCACAGATCTCCATCACAGGCCAGGGTCATCTGCAGTAAAGTAGCTGGCCCATTTGCCAGCACCTCTTCCTCCCTGAGGTGAGGAAGAAGAAATTCTAAATATTTATGTAGCACAGATGTGGCCATATAATATACAGCTCCTGATCTCCCTGCTTTCACCCAGTGCTTTCACATTGGCAGATCTTGGGTTTATTTGGTTTTTTACCTCCCATAGTAGGGGTCTAGCCATGGACACAGCCAAGTTGTTATAACTCATACAAGGAAAACCCTATCACTTCTCCATCAGGATGTGGTTGTGCTCTGGAGGCATGGTTAGTCATTTCATTGATCAGATTTCTTAAGTGTCTCAAACTTGTTTTACTGTGTTGGTGTACTTGCATATGTTGTCCTGCTGTTTTAGTTCTTTTGGATTAGTCACTTTGTACTCATGGAAATCATCACTTTTGTCATTTCTACAGCATAGTAATATTCCATTATATTCATATTGCACATCCCCAAGTGCTTACAAGGCAATCCAAGGCAAATAGTTAGATTTTAGATTTTTGCTTTTTTTTTTCTTTCCTTGTAATCCTCCCTTCTCTACCAGGAAATTTGCATTGCTTTCAACTGTTCCTTCCCCAGAATTTTCCTCTTTCCTTAACTCCTCTTTTTCCTTTCCCTGTTTATTTTTCTGTCAGGTTTGATATATATCTACACCACACTCTGTGTGTGTTTGTGTGTTCAACTCCCCTTTGTCTATTTCAGAGAAAGTAAGATTCATATGATAACTCTCCTCCTCCCCTAAACCACTCTCTATGCTTATGTAGTCTTCTTATGCATCCCAATTATAAGAAGGAGCAAAGTTCCACTTCTTTTCTTCCTCCTTTCTACAATGTATTCTTTTTACACTCCCTTCTCTTTCCCTTCTTCAAATCCTCAAAATAGTACTAATCCACACTACCCTCCACTCCCAAGACCTCTGTTTTTCTAATTAAGTTCCTCTATATCCTTTGAAGACATTAATGTTCTGAAAGGACATTTATTTCTTCTCCTCCTATTATGTTAACACTGTGTCACCATATCGCTCCTTCCAATAGTTCAAATAAATTTATCTTTCTAGGTTTCTCTAGATTCTTGTGTTCAGAGTCTCTACGCAGCTCTGGTCTTTTCATCAGAAATGCTTGAAAGTTCTCTATTCCATCAAAGATCCATTTGCCTCTCTTTAGGAAAAGTTATTCTTGGTTGCAAGCCTGTATCTTTTGTCTTTTGGAATATCATATTCTCTTTTGATTTACAG